GTCTTCAGTCTTTAAGATAAGACCAAACATATTTTCAAACTTTAGATACAATTTACATGTTATTAGTGGTAATTGAGAATTCTCCATAGACTTACAAAAATTCACCATTATAAAACTTCTTAAACTGTTGCTGACTAGGTTACTATATAAAAACTGAAACTAAATAAGTTGTTATAGATTTACTTGCAATGTGTGGCAATTTAATGTCTATTGTGTACAGTTGTGCTCCATAGGGTTTAGAGTGTGCTATATTTTGGGAAGAGATTTCCAGGCATTTCTTCCAAAAATCCCTGGATGGACTTAAAACACCAATTTTCAATAAACTGCACAGTACTTAACTCTAATAGTTTTCCTCAACATAAAATTAAACACTCTTCATATCAGTGTTTACCATTTATAGTTCTTGTTTTGTGAAGTTGTTTTTCTATGGAATTTTATCCTTTGGTTCATGTTGATTTTCACAGATGGTCTGTCCATGAAGACTTTGATGCCTTTTTTTTTTTTTTTTTTCCTGACCTCACTTGCTCTTAACACCACTAGAGACTGAAACTCAGTCCTTCCCACTAAATTCACAGTACCACTATGCTTTCCTCTTTTAATCTGTTTTTCTCTTCTTCCATTGATCTTTCACTCCCGTTTTCCCTTTATATCCTGGTTCCTTTCATTTTCTTTGTGTCATTCCTTTCATTTTCATTTCTTCTCTTTGTTTCCCAATCTATCACTTGGCTTCTAAGCAAACATTTTGTTTTTATTCTTATTTTCAGGATTCATGACCATCAATAAGGAATGGAAGGCACTTTTCATTGTCTAACTCAAACACATTTATAAGCATATTTTTTTTTGATGGATTGCATTTCATAACTTCAACAGAAAATGAAATATACTTTCATTTTCAACACAAGATAGCATCATATAATAGCAAGGTGATTTTTTAGCACCTTGCTGAATTAGGCCTTATCTCAAGACATTTTTAAATACCTGAAATATGACTCTCCTCCCCAGTCCTCCTCTCCCAATGAGTCCATGACCAGGACCAAGTCACTACTTATGTCTTCTTGACAGTGACTTGTTGTATTTTATTTTACATTTCTGATGACAAATAATGATAACTTCCAATTATATCTTGACATTTCCCATTGAGGCACTAAGTAGGACTTACTGTTTTGTCTTTAGCAAATGATGGAAAATAGTCATTCTGTAAAACAGTTTGAGGACAACTAGTAGTACAGTTCTTCTTCTGCACAGGTTCTTCTTGTAGCATTGCCATCTTTTGGGTTATTTGTAATAATTTGAGTCTTAAGTTGGCAGCTTCCCTTTTCTCTTCAGCTATAGCTCTTTCTGCAGCACGATTGAAGTTGTCAAGGACTTCATGCTTCTTGGATCAACTATCAACACTCACGGAAGCAGCAGTCAAGAGATCAGACGACGTATTGCACTGGGCAAATCTGCTGCACAGGAACTTTTTAAAGT